CCACGTTACTCTTGTAAAATACCGTCACACTGAGAAATCTTGGCTCCATGCATTTCTCCAGCAACATCCAATCCCTTTACCTTTGCCTTTTTACTTATGCGTATTAGGCATTCATTACTAGCCGTTCTGATCGAAGGTCTCAAGTACCTACCACTGGTCATGAACAAGACTCTGATCAAAGCCAAGGTAGGCTTTCTAGTCTGACACATACTCGAGTAAAGCACAGTCGCTTAACTATATGTATTAAAGTAAGCGAGAACCTGAAAATCCGCCAATACGAAAACCGGTCACCGTGGCTCAGTAGAGTCGTCGCTGACTGCACATCTACGATGCGAATAAAAAGTGACACCTAGAGGTAGTGCGGATCTGCTGTCTTTCTTGGCCTCGGCCAAGTTTCCTTGAAAAGTCTTTAATTGAATCAACATACTTTCCATATTTTTTTGGTTTTTTTTTATAAATGAAAGCCAGTCTACATTCTTTTTTTTTTTGCTGGCTCCACAATTTTTGTCTGTCTCTCGTAGTATTTGAAGGGTACAGCCTCGCAGACGTAATGGATACTGGCTAGTAGTACGAGAAAAGTGAATTTACTTAGATAATTCACATGATGTGCTTCAGAATTTGTCAATCATTTTCACAGGAAGCCACGACTTCTTTCACGTTCGTTACAAGGAAGAATGGAGTAAACCAAGCGCGTAAATGATTTATAGATAGTCTTAAACAGTGGTCACGAGTCACTCGTTACAGGTAGCATCAATTTTAGAAGAACATTGCTATTTCTAATGTCCAAAAGTCTCACATCTAAAATACATCAAGAGCAAACTGGTACTCTGATTACATTACACATAACACATTAACTACTTTGTCTCGTCCTTCTTGACACAGTTGATGAAGTCAACAATGGTGGGCTCGCATTCTAGGTTATATGTTGATAAGCAACTTGGTAGCATGACCATAACTGAAGGTTTAATTTAACTTACGCATCTCCTTTGCCGCCCAATCGGTCACAATTTTCGATGTAAGTTCCAAATCGGCTTCATCGATGTATCGTCCTTCACTCAAGCAACACTTGAGAAAGGCCTTGTATTCTTGGTCATGGAGTGGAGAGTTGTCAAAGTCACCTTGTGGTCCTTTTGGGTATCCCGACGCCAGCATACTGCCCCCTTTAGATAGCCGCTCTATCGGAAAGCCTTTGTACTTAGTTTGACCAGTGGCCCATTTAAGAGCGGCCTCTGTAAACTTCCAGCCCACATGGTAAAGTAGTTGTGCGAGTGTGATTATTGCAGTCTCGTGTGATTCAGGGATTGAAGCAAAGCTCTCGTCTGGATCAGCATGGTTATATCTCTCGCGTGCCGCAGTAAACTTCTTGGTGTCTTCATCAGAGGCATCTGCGATGGTATGCTCATTAGCAACATATATGGTAGAAAATATGAGGAAGAATCGTGTTTACCTATCCCCTTACCATCCGCCATCAACGATTTGACCATCCTCAAAGTTTCATTTAAACACCTCTCCATCTTCTCATTTAGGTCCTTCTCCGTCGTGTTACACACGAATGTCACCAGCAAATAGATTTTCCCCGATTTTCTTGTCAGATTCATCAATACTCATACTCTCGAGAATATTTTCGACCGATTTCCAGTTGTCGCCATGAAGAATTTGTGCAACCTTGATAGTGTCTTCTCGAGACTCCGTAGGTGTTTCCTTGGAACCACCTGTGTCATTCTGATGATCTGTACGTCAAGATTAATTGGGGTACAGGTACTATGAGCAAGGCATGGATATTGCTCACTTTCTTGAAATGACATGATGATGTAGGTACGGTACTCTTTGTACTTATTGATATGGTGTTCGTAACGTGTAACTTGAGCTGGGCTGGTGAGGAGGCGAAGTAAGATGTATTTGATGTGAAGTTGTTGCTGTTTCGGTGAACCACCGAGATGTGATGTCAAGGCTTCGTAGATAAATTTGTGTGGAATTTGAATGTAGGTAGAATTTTGTTGGAGAGTTGATGAAAAGAAAAGGAAAGAAGCGGGGGGCGAGAAGGCCTTTTTTGAGCTCCCAGATTAAGTGAATCATTGAGTCCAATGTCCATGTTGAAAATAGAAAGTGGGAGCACATAAATAGTCTCCCATTACATGCATCTGCCGAACAGACTATTATTCATAGGGTTGAAAATTGATGTCAACATGATTTCAAAAGACATAAACTGACACCATATGACCGACAAACCCAAAAGGGCTCTACTATCACTCAATCACATAATTATCACATTTCCTTGATATAATGGAGAATATCAGATCTATGATTGAATCTTACGAGATTTTTTATTATTATCTCATAATAAAATATCCTCCCTCCACCCTCATATTTATATTCATCAAATTTATTGAAAAGACTACTAACACAAAAGAAGAAGCAGACTAACATGACATAACATGACAGCGCGTTTTGAAAAGACCGTGTATTTTCATGCCCTTAATAATTCAAGACTTGCGCTTTGGACTCGGGCCTGCATTCCTTGCAGTCTTGCTGTCTACTTAATCTCACCTACGACACATCACATCAATAACATCTAGTTTTCCTATGGTGCAGTGGTTTGCGTGACTGGCCAGTACAAGGATCTCGGTTCCATAGGCGGCTAGATGCTCTGTTGCCACAGATAACCACCCGGTTTCTGGGTTCCGAGGACCCTCGGAATTTCTTTTGCTTTTTTTTATCATCACTTTTGCGTTTGGTATTGTTGATTCTTTTGTTTTTGGATTTGAGGTTTTGGGTGATGTTGTTGATTGATATTGTAAGCGATAAGTGGGTCGCGAATGTGCGAAGCGAGGAGTGAGGTGTGAAGTGAAAGGGGAGTGAAGAGAGGGTGTCGGGTGGGAAGTGGGGCTAGGATTGAGATAGAATGGCGAAGTTAAGTCGATGAGTGTCCAAATTTATGGTGATTGGTGATGAATGAGGATATCGATGACGGGCGAGAAGTTGAAATGTAGTTATACTACGCAAAGAAATCTCTGAGACCTTGGACCTGAGAAATAGAGGCAGAGAAAGTCAAAGAAGATCTAAATTGAAGATCCAAGAAAAGACAATGCCGCACAATAAACGCCATAAGTTTGCAATCCAAAAAACCAGCTATTACTCCGCCATTAAATGCTAACCCCAACTCCATTTATAAATACCAACCGCAACTCCAGAACGATGCTCCATTAAATGCAGAAGTTATCCAAATCCAGGCTCAATTACCTTCTTCTCCAACAACCACAGGCAAAATTCCCACATTCCCAACAGCTTGCGGATCTGCCACCGTCCGTTAGAATCAACTCAGCATCGTAAACCCACCTTCACCAACCCAACCCACAAAACCATTTGTCCAACCATGACAGTAAAGGGAAACAACTTACTCCAAAAAACAAACCCACTATCAACCTCCGTCTTAATCCCCAACAACTTATCATAAGTACTCGCTCCATAATACTGCTCAGCCGCTTCCTCAGCCGTTAAATCCGGATCTACATAATTTACATATCCCGAGATATTCCCCGCAGGTTGTGCATCGGTGACGGCATTCGTCATACCTTCTATTACTTGCGTGATACGCTGATTCCAAGGTGGGAGATGATTTGGTGTGTATCCGTAGTTTTGAAATACCCACAGTGCATCCATATCCGAATGACTCGCAGATGAAACCTCCCCGCTGTCGATCACGGATCCGGGAGCTCCATAGAGGTTTATGATGGAGAAATAGGGGATCTCGGGGGATAGGTGCGAAAGAATGTAATCGAAAAATGCGTGGACGGCTTCTGGTGTAAGAGGCTTTTCGTTCTTGGTGACGAGCGATTTGACGTAAAATGTATCGTGTAACTTGTAGTTGATGAGGGGTTGGGCGAGCGGATCTGGTGCGGCGAGAGTAGCTAGGGTGTCGATCCAGGAGAGATTTGTTATGTTTCGGGTGTCGATGTCGAAGCCGGATACGAGCTGAGGGAAGACAACGTCGCGGAATAAGGCGAGGTCGCAGAACATGCACATTCCTGTGATGGCCAGACCTCCCGCACTATTGACGTTGAAGCCGAATGAGATGTTGGGTGTAAGGAGTGGGTTCGTGAGGACAAAATTCTGAGTTTTCAAGAAAGCTGCAGAGACTTTGTCGGCGCTGGATAGCGTAGACGATAGCTTGGCTGTGAAGTATGTGACTTCTTCTAGTGCGGCTAAAGTCTGCATATAGAAGTGTGTAACGATTCCGAAAGCATCGGCGGCTCCTCGCAAAGCATACCACATTTCGATATTCTGTGTTTCGTTCGCATGGATGAATGTGCCATTTGCAAGGACGACGTCGAGACCGACGATTGTGCCGAGTGCTAAGCCCCAGAGACGAGAATCATAACCATATCCACCATGGGTTGCATGTCCACCTAATTATTAGATTAGTATAAGCTAGTAATTTTCTTTCAGTCCTAGGATAATCATCTTACCTATCCCAACACCAGCACATGTACCATGCGGCAGAGCTCTACCACCCTGCGTATGAATGCCCAACGCAACATTCCCCAGTCTCTGGCCCACGCCTATCTTCGCAATAAACGTCTCTATAATGCAACTTACGTCAACAATCCATCCTCACCACCCAAACCTTCTCAAAAAGAACAAAAACTTACTCTGATCCACCACAATATCATCAAACCCACTCATATCCACCACCACACTCCCATTATGCCCCCCAATACTATAACTAGCATAACTATGACCACCGCCCCTCGGCTGGACCTTCAAACCCGCTTTCGCAGTACAGGTAACACTATCCCCCACCTCCTCAGGCGTCTTCGGTAACGTCACTGCCGTAGGCGTATACGGGAGACGTAAGTTGAAAGGAGTAGTCAAATTGGCCCAATTCGCAGAAGTAGACTTCGAATAGGGAACGGAATGCGCTTGAAGACATTGTTGGAGAATTTCCGAGGAGTCGGGTTGAGCGGGAAATTCTTAATCGCCGGGTGACAAGGAGTCTGAGAGAGAGGGGGAGGTGAGGGTGCTGAGAATAAGCGAGATAAGGGGGAGGGAGAAGTGCATTTTGGTTAGCGAATTTTTTGGGAATTGTCGCTGGAGAAACGATAGGTTGGAAGAAGGAGCGCGGGACTGGTAGGGAGAATGCTCATTCTATAGTCGCGTCATTTTCATAATTGCTTGGGACTTCATTCCTCGTGGTGGTAATTTTTCGTTTGCGCAAGATATTGGCCTAATCCGGAACGTTTTCAACGTAAAATTCCCCGAAACAAAATTCCCAGCCTCACTTCACAGGAAAATTTTCAACCCATGAAAACATCTATGAATTAAACGTAAGTAAGAACTGTGAGAGTTTGAAACGCGAAATAAAGTGGTTGAAAAAAGGTTTATAATTTATAACAAAATATCTAATTCGGTATTCAGAAGCAATTGACATCTATACCTTTCCGCCACCAATGATATACCCCCAAACGCCGTTCTCATCTTATCATACGTTGAAGTATTTAATTGTAAGACTGAGGCATCATTACACAACTGCTTTCGCCATACCGGTAGCTGCATCAGACAATATAGTCACACCTTTCCTCTTCTTGATAACATTCTCTATGAATGCCTCACCCGCTTTGTATGAACTTCTCACTAGAGGTCCACTGGCACAATATAAGAATCCGAGATCTAATGCGCGTTGACGCCACGTCTCGAAAACATCGGGTGAAACATATTCTTCTACTTTCATGTGGCGCTTGGTCGGGCGCATGTATTGACCGAAGGTAACGACATCAACATTGACCTCTCGAAGATCTAGAAGGAAATTGTTAGTATTTCAAGAAGATAAATTTGGAAAGGCATATCATACCTCTCAATGTCTGCCATAATGTTTCTTCGGTTTCGCCCAATCCAAGCATAATACTTGTCTTCGTAATTAATGAAGGTACGGCCTTCTTCGCCGCATCCAGAACTGTCAGACTTTGTCTATATTTCGCTCTGCGGTCTCGAACAGATGGTGTAAGTTCTTCAGTAGTCTCCATGTTATGCGCATATACATCCAGACCACTTTCCGCGACCAATTTCACCATTTCCAAATCTCCAGCGTAATCACCAGTCAAGGCCTCGACCAAGATAGTCGATTTCTTCTGCTTGATTTTCATGATTGTTTCTGCAAAATGTCTTGCTCCCCCATCTGCAAGATCATCTCTATCCACAGACGTCAAAACGACATAACCTAGACCCCATCTCGATAAAGCTTCAGCAGTATTTTCAGGTTCGTGCGGATCCAACGGAGGTGGCGCTTTTGATGTTTTGACACTACAGAATCGACATCCTCTCGTGCAAGTATCTCCCATCAACATAATCGTCGCAGTCGCAGCACTTTTATCATCACCACCCCAACAATCCGAGATGTTCGGACATCTTGCTTCCTCGCAGACAGTATGTAAATTTAAGCCTCGCAGATCCTTTTTGATCTTTTTGTAATTCGAATTATCCGGAATTGGTGTCTTTAACCATGTAGGTAATCTTGTAATTTGTCTCTTCTTCCCAGGAGGACCGACCATCGCAGTGCGCAATTCAAGGGCATCTTCCGTTGACCAAGCCTTATCTGGCAAGCCCACGAATTCGGAGAAAGAAGGAACGGCATTGACTTCGTCTTTAAAGTATGTAGGACGTCTCTTCGTAATGGGTTCCGGCTTGGATGCATCTGTTTCAGTGGCGAATGATCTTGAAGTTGCGGTAGGGATTGAGAGAATGTTTCTTGTTGCTTGTCGCAATGGAGGCACATTAAGACACCGAAACCTTGGGACTATTGATGCCATCTTGAAATATCTGATTCAATGTAGTGATAAATAAGAGATTCGATGTTGAGATGTTGAGATTATTTTTTGATAAGGATGCTTGCAAATCGATACATATGGCTTACATAATCTTCAAGACCGATGGATATCGGGGGACATTAATTGGCATGGAGTTGTAACAGCAGCATGGAATTACTCAAATGTGTACCGGTATTCATTTAAGAAACAATTAATTGTGGTGTTTGAATTCATTCTCATGAATTGGATGTGCATAACTCGAATAAATTTGCAACATTTGACAGGTTCTTAGTATTGAGGGACAGCTCCCGGTGAGCCTTCATCTACTAGGTAGCCCCCACCAAACCCAAAACTATGTGAAGTAAATAAATATCCCTACCCAGCAACCAACATCAACAACCTCAATTTACAACATATCAAGTTCACCCAAATCTGCGCCTGCAATCCTATCCCTCCATCATTCAGCGCCAACTATCTTCTTTATAACACACACAAAAATGAATACACAAGATTCTTCCGCCCTCCTTTCCTCCTCTGTCGCTTCACTCCGGTCCTCTCTCAGCACCTTAGACAACAGTATCTCCATTCTCGATTCTGGGATTTCGGATTTTCCACGACTAAAATTTGTCCTCGGTACTATTAGGGTATGCTTCACATTTGTTATCCCCATCACTCATCAATTTCCATCTACCGTCCTGACAAACCCATATTCCACAAAATAAACCCTAATTGACCTCTCCCCCCCCCAAACAGCACTTCGAACTAACCCCCTCCACAACCCTCCACGCCGCCCAACGTTCCCTCGCCGAAGAACTCGAACCCGCCATCGAAACTCTGCTCTTGCGCTCCGAATCCCTCATTTCGCGACTCCAACGAAAAGAAGAACAGCTGATCGCACGCTCCCAATTACTCTCCGGGCGTCTCGAATCGGCCACCTCTTCCACCTCAAATCTGACATCCAAAGCTGCGAAATTGAGCCGGAAAAAGAGTTGGGAATTGGGCTTGAATAAAAATGCGAATGGGGGTGGAAATGAGGAGAAGGCAATGAAGCTGAAGCTGCTGAGACAGAAGAAAGAGAGATTGGGATACGCAGTTGAGAGACTTGGGTTGCAGAGTCAGCAGAGACAGAGACAGTTGAGGATGAGTGTTGCGCCGCCTTCTTTCGATGAATGAGACTCCTGAAATTTCGAAGAAGAAGGCTCCAGGCAATAGTGAAGATGAGCACCCATGAAACTCAATATTTTCAAAGCTATTATGCCTCACTGGAATCGGCAATCCAATAAATATACTGTGGTTCGGAGGAAGCGCATAAGAACACACTGTGGTGCAAGGGACGTGTCAGTTTGGATCCTATCCACTCATCTGGCTGCTGCTGTTGCTGCTGCTGCATATATTGGCCATTTCCTATCCGCAACACTCTCATAATGTTGTATACCGAAATCCAACCCCCGCCGAACCAAAGTCGAGCCAGCTCTGTCATGGTAACTTGATTCCCGCTTCGTCAAAGGCGTCAAACGTACAGGAGCAAAGTGGACAGAAAGTGAACTGTGAAGGAATCTGGTGCATTTGAGAAATAGTGTAGAAGCATCTAAGGGAGATGTTTGTATTTGCATATCGTCTTTATATTCCTAGGTGGCCTTTAATTCTAGTCACAGAGAGAGCTATTAAGCATCTTCCGATGGGAAAATTAGATTACAGATAGCTTCATGAAGATTGATACAGGCCTTCTTTGCTTTTCTTTCGAAATGGAGGATCAATACAATATATCCAGCAAGAAGCTATAGGTCAATGGGCTGCAATTAGAATCCGTGTTTCTGGCACTTGGGCTATGTGGTGTAGATTGTCCTCGAGAGAGCAAAGTGGGAGTAAAGAGACAATCACTGAGTCTTTCCAAGCTTGTCAATATTGAAGCAAGCGCGATTCAAATGTATACACTCGAGTACAAATAGATTCACATCCAATCTCTACAAACTATGGTATATATCTCCTCACTTAAACTTTCAACTCCTTCCCAAAACTATCTCCCCTCGCCACATCCGGCCTCTCCACCGCCTCAAGTACCACCTCCCTCAACCCCAATTCGTCCAACCCTTTAAACCCCTCCTCAACCACCCATTTCCTTCCCTCCTTGTTTGCATTTTGATTAAACAAAACCTCGCACGCAGCTCCAAGTACCAATAATCCAGGTGGTCTACTTCCCACTTCTTCAATGGAATCTACGACCCATTGTAGAGAGGTTCTAACTACTCTTTGATCTGGACATGATGCTCTTTCTATTACTGCACACGGTGTGCTGAGAGGCCATAATTTCCTGCTCTGGTCTACTTGCCCATTCTCATCGATCACTTTTGCGTCTTCGGAATCGTGGGTTGTGAGATCAGCTACTAGCCCCTTTATCCTATGAAGTGCCATTAAAAACACTACAGTCTGAGTACCCACATATTGCGGCGGTACAGTCGGTTTTCCCTTCCGACCAGTCCCAGTACATATCAATACTTGATCACTAACCGCCCTCTGCGTAGCCGGTATCCCCGCAAACAGAGGTGCACTCAATGCACTCGTTATACCAGGAAGCACGACAACTCGATCCCCAAATCCTTCCTTTCGGAAAAACTCAAATTCCTCTCCTCCTCGTCCATATATATAAGGGTCACCTTGCTTTAGCCGCAAAACAGTTTTTCCAGCCTTGAGACCCGCAAGTCCAAGGGATAATAATTCTTGCTGCGCAAGTTCGGCGTTTCCGGGAAATTTACGCGCGATGTGGATGGGTGTTCGGCGGGGAATGAGATCGAGAACCCCGGATGGGACAAGTTTATCGGCGAGGATTATGTCGGCAGAAAGGATTGCTTTGTGCGTTGCGCGGGTAAGGAGGTCAGGGTGGCCGGGTCCGGATCCTGCTAGAATTATTTGGGGGAGTTTTGAGAGGCGAGAATCGAGGGTTGATGTATCGAGAGGAGTGGAAGTTGAGGGGTTTGTAGCGTAGGATTTGAGGACGCTGTCGACATCTGAATCGGTGATTGAGGCGAGTCGACGAAGGGGCCAATATTCACAAATCTGTGAAAGCCATCTCATACGTCGGTTCTTCGCAGCATCGAGGTCCGCTTCCGTGATGAGTTTATTGAAAGTAGAGCTTTGATCTATTTCTTCCTCTTTGTCCAAATCCCCAGCTGCAGTTAGATGTGCCAAATGATCCTCCTCTTGGATCCGTCTGCGAATCGTGCCAATTCGTAGACATGATTCTCCTATATTTGTAGGAAGTGAAGAGGCGATTTCGCGACGGATTCGTGAGGAGAGTTTGCAGCCTTTCCCATTGGTTGTTACGCCAATCTGGAGTGGCCCATCGATATGTGTTGAAAGGAGAGAAAAGGTACAGAGGCTTGAAGCATCTGCTACATTCACAGGTATGCGACTGCGTTTGCAAAGTTGTGAAATATGTGAGCCTGAATATGTTAGCTGCAAAGTCATAGTCATCAGAAACTATACTTACTCAATGGATCTCGAGGTCCAACTGTAACAAATACTGCATCGACAACTCTCCCAATCTCTTCTCTGCCTAGATTCATAACATCGTCGTCTTCGAATGACTTCTTTAACCATTCCACCTCCCCATTCTCGATTCGTTTTTGTAATGTATAATGTAATTCGGAAGATTCAGGCGCAATGAGGATAGGTTTTGCTCCTACTTCGAGGGATTTCGTACATCTTGCTCCTGCTAATGGATTGGATCCAACTATAAGGTGAATATGAGATGTTGAATCAATAGCAGTAAGAAGAGATATTGGAGTCATGATGTCTGTCCCGACCAATATTGTCACTATAATTATATGATCACAAAGGAAGAGGAAGAGGTATGAAGTTGTTTGAAGAAGAAGAAGATGGGATACCAATCCATATGAAGCCAAAAGATATGATGTGAGTGATATTCAATTGTAATACTGTAAAGTAAAACAAAAATAATGAACTACTGTCTACTTGTATCTCCTTAGCAAATCCCTTCCAAATTCCAATTGATATCTCAGTATTTGACTCCATTATGCTTGTTATCGTGAAATAACGCCATCGATAAGAAATTTCAGAATTTGCCCCTCCATGATGATGACTAATCAGGTGGGTGAGATACAATCTAATACTCTAAAGCAACATCACAACATCTTGAGGTTGTCGTCGTCGTCGTCGTCGAACTTATCAATTGGTATCGGTAGTCATTTGTTGTTTGTTATCTGCATGACCCTTGACACCCCTTTCTATGCCAGGTATTCTTGGCCGGCAGCAACTACAACACACATACATAGCTGTGCTCTGCCACTGGTCTAGTTGCCTCTCAGAAACTTCCTCGCATGTCTCTTCTCCGCCTTTGACACTGTCTCGTTGTCGAGATGAGAGCCTCATTATAGCTAGGGCAATGTTGCCTGCTGCCCTCATTCAAGATTTCGTATCCATGTACCGGTATATATGTATATGCATACGAAAACAATACCGGTACATGAATCATGAAATTGTTATCCGCCGGATAAAGCAGCAGCCTCCGTCGTCGCACCCCTTTCATATCCCTAGCGACCCACTATAATTATCATATCCAATCGCTGTTCTTCAATTATACATTTTTTACTACCCTCACGGGTTTCCGGAGAAGTTAGATGGTTTCTACTACTCGGTTGGTGTCTTATTTATCTCAAGAAGGGTTATGAATTTTTGAAGTCTAATACTGTAAGTTCAGATGCAAAAGAAGTGATACAGAGAGCTTTACAATTATCGGGGGGGTTTCAATCTCTTTTCAAACGAGTCTTGAAGTTAGCAACCTCAACATTGACAACCTCCTGGAGATAGGCATCTGATTGTTATCCCTAGCTACTTGAAATTACCAATAGACTGGTCAAGTATGTTGCCAAGCAGCATAACAGGGCTAAAACTACGACTTTTCATCAGTAATGATTATGATCTGCGCAAATCCCATTCCTCGAGAAACTGCATCGAAGAATTGCAAAATTATCGAACCGCATTCCCCAACGCGTAACATTCCTCGATTATGGAACTTTGTAACGCGTCTGACCTCTCCTGTTTCTTCTTAAATGTTCATAAAAGAGGCACTCAAGTCTCATCATTGATTGATACTGCGCAATACATTAAAAAATGGCTTGCTGTCCCGTAAATTCTTGTTATCTCGCAGTGGCACCCCTCGCAAATTCGCAGTGCCAGTATGTCAGTACCAACGGCTCCTCTTCACTTAACGGAGTTGCCACTGGTGCTTGCGCCCCTTTTGGTGGTTATGGTGCCGTCGTAAGAGCCTGCGGTTGTCTTGTTGGAACCAATGCTCCAGGTGGATGTGGTTCTGGCTGTGCGGGTTCAGCTGGAATTGGTATAGGATACGCCCTCAACACTCCTTTATCGGAGATGATAGGTGGAGTAGCAAAGCTGGAAGGAGAATCGGTATGCCCTGGGACTACTGCATATTATTGTCCATCTGGTCAAGTTTGCAAGACAAGGGACGGATCTGCGCCTTATTGTTGCAATGGTAGTATGTAATTTTCCTCTAACCGTGCGTATCTTAAAGCTAATAGTGTTCAGATACTGATTGCTACAATCAGATCGGGGCATGCGCAGATTCATCATGGGGACAATATAGAGCCACAATTGGTACCAATATTGACAATATCTGCTGTGGAAATGGAACGTTCGGTGTGTACCGAAACTCTAATGCCGATCGTGTGGGTTTATGTGCGACGTCCCTTCCTTCGCAATACAACATTGCCACTACTATATCACTTGGAGGTTGCTACTCTCGCACTGTTATCTCGGTTACTATTTCGTCAAGTACGAGTTCAAGCTCGAGTATCTCGACCTCTCAATCATCCATCATCAATAGATCTTTAACAACGACCTCATTGACGTCGTCATCCAGTTCTCGCTCAACTTCGATAACTGCATCTCCTAGCTCCAGTTCGGTTATTGTATCTCCATCATCATCCAAATCAACGACCTCTTCCAGTACTTCGACCAGGACCTCATCTTCGAGTTCTGTCTCGACCCTTGTAGCCCCAACACAAACTTCATTCAGTACTTCGATAACATCATCCAGATCAACGGTCTCTTCCAGTACTGATACTAGGGTTAGGGACTCACCCATATCAAGTTTTTCCCGTCCTACACCCAGGGTCTCGTCATCCTCGACTTCTGTCCCGACCATCGTATCTCCCACGCCATCGTTGTCCAGTTCAACAACGCTAACAGCGTCCTCGGTCTTTGTATCTTCGAGTTCATCGTCTATTATCGGTCAAAGTTCGTCGAGCTCTAGCTCTAGCTCTAGTTCTAGTACACAGGTGATATCTCCCACGCTATCGAGTTCATCGTCTGTTATTGGTCAAAGTTCATCGAGCTGTAGCTCTAGTTCTAGTACACAGGCGATATCTCCCACGCCATCCTCATCTTCAGTAGAAGTCTCCACATCATCATCAATATCACAATCCTCGTCGTCGCTAATTGTTTCCCCATCTCCATCCTCATCTTCAATAGAAATCTCTCTATCATCGTCGACATCTCAATCCTCATCATCGCTAATTATTTCCCCATCGCCATCATCATCTTCGGTAGAAGTCTCTCCATCATCATCGACATCTCAATCTCAGTCTTTATCCTCGTCGTCCTTAATTGTTTCCCCATCGCAATCCTCATCAGTGGATTCCAGTTCTTCGTCAGTAAACCCAGAATCTTTTTCAAGCTCCAGCAAAACAGTCGTATCTTCTACTTCATCGAGCTCACTATCTACATTATCAAGCTCTTCGTCGATATTCAACCCATCTTCATCATCGTCCGAATTCCTTTCCACATTGATCATTCCCGCAACAACCAGCCTCTTCTCATCTCGTTTCTCAGAGGAATCATCATCTTCAATCACGCTTTCATCTTCAAGTTTCATTGGACCTGTTACAACGACTACTACTGTAATCAGTGAGGTGGGATCTACAAATACTACCACCTCTGGTGCGTCGGTATCAACCTTCTCGGAACCTTGTGGAGCTAGTATGTGTTTGTTTAGTCGTGTTATTCCTACCTCTCGCGAGCTTTGATTTTCTTTTTTGATGTCAAGTCTGTTAGCTATTTGTGAAGGGACAGTTGGTTTTGGGATTGAAAGGGGTGTGGTATCTCGGTCAGATGAAGTTTTTTTGAATTTTCATGGTTACTTCCACGAAACGACTTTTTCCTTTTTTTGCGTTTTTGGTTAGATAGATAAATTGAACTTTTTTCCATACTACATCTGGGCTCGCGTTCGCTACGACGATTTAGCCGCGGCCTGGTCCCTGGAGCATGTTTGATACAGCCTCTTTAATGATATTTTGGCTGCAAGTCCTTGGTGATGTAATGCCTTTCGGTTTATTCCCAATCTCTAATTCATAACCCATTTCACCCAACTTCCCCTACCCTTAATCCATACACCCCACATCCGCTACTACTCTACTATTCCATCTACTTCCTATCCCTCCCATTCCTCTCTCGAAAAACGACGGTAGATATGCTCAAGTAATCTAACCATCAGTAGAATCATTTACAGCCTAGAAGACTAAGGTATATCTAACCCATCGTTCGACAAGTAGCCTAACAATCCTAGTCACCAGATTCAAGATCCCCTTCCTTTCCTATCAACCAAAACACAGAGTGCAGACATACGATCGACCTTCTCAATCGTTCTACAGGTATTCGTGGAATAAAGAATAAATAGCTTCCCTAAATTAACGACTGACTGTGCTTAGAAGCATAAAGAAATACTAAAGGTTTTTGTGACATCTCTTGGAACATTTCTCTATAAGAATAGATTGGGCGAGAGATACTTGAACTCTTTCCCATTCCCAAAATGACCGAATGGCGCAAGAGCATAACTCTAAACGCGGCATCCACTCGGAAGAGTTTACAGTACTCGTATACACCCGAGCTAAAACCTTATACATTTCTTCGGTTTGGATGAACCACTCGAGTACAGTAGTATCGTGCATTATATTTATTCGAAGTGAGAATTATCAGCCATCACTCAATCAAAGCAAATATGCTGCATGGAACACCCCGTATTTAAGGAAGTTGAGGGTAAATGCAGTAGAAAACGCAGTAGAAAGAAGATTATGTGTTCAAAGGTGTCTATGTTTACTTAACTGGGAGAGAAGAATATGAAAGTTGATTTTTGCGGAGACTGAGACTGGCGAACATTGACGTGTGGAACACGAAGATGTGGGCAAGAAAGTGTGGATTAGAAGATCCGGGGTGGATTTGCCATGGATGAGATTGAAGTGAGATGGGGATCAAGGGAAGAGGAAATGAAAGATAGGGAGGGGTAATGTAATCTTACATGAAAGCTGGAAACGTTTCTTCATGCCTAACTTTCGACTCAAACAAAGTTTCTGTGTTGTTATCATACTGTTAAAGGATCCAAGTGAACATTCTTACTTATATCATCTATATACTAATATACTCAAGACTGCAATAAACAAAACTGCTTTAAAAGATGACCCGAATAATGACTTCCCCAGATTTTGAGCTAAGACGAACTGCGGAGGCCTTAGCCCACCACGAACAATATCAAATCAGACAGAATTAGTCAATCAAGGCTATCATCGCTGTAATTACTCCTTTCCAAAATGGGTAGATGCGTCGTCCCAAGATCCCCCATCCAAACCATGAAATGAAACTACCATCTTAAACATTATACAAAATTGGGATATCTCCAAATAAATCCATGCCACCATCATGTCATCATCCCATTGCACAAAAACCGAAACGCCGAAGATTAGAAAGCCAATTATTTGCCTAGAGGTCGTATATCACAGAATCCGGTGTCACTGCTATCACCCAATAATTCTGTGTCGAACACGGCTCGCGCTTCTCGTGTTGATGAAACGCGCAATATGGTTGGTTCCACGGGGTTAATTTTCTCCCTGGATTGTCAACCAGATCAGACAGATCACGGGTGATATCATCTACCTTTGAAAGAAAGACATGATTGTAATTTGTGATCAGCTTATCCGCGCACGCATCTTAGGTTTACCAAAAGAGCCACAGAGCGACGTACTTTCGAAGCGGAGAATCTTGGCGGGTGTGCTCATATATGAAGAGGATTATTTGCCTGGGGAAACCAACACAATGTTTGCCATGGCAGTATTCGATATACTCCATATTACGGTCTGCTAGAGTGGAGGTGCAACTTTTCGGCTAGACAATATAGGGATACAGGTTGCCAAGTAAATTGTATCTCGTTTGCGCCGTCGTAAAAGATTGCCCCCAATTTTGGTAGCTTATCGTCATAGATCCATTCCATAAGTATTGAAAAGGCGCCAGAGTCGTCATCTGGGAATCTGTCCGTATTCTCCAAGGTTCCTGTATCTTTACTTGTAAAGATTGTTCTGAAATAGGGGATTCTGCGACATAGAAGCTTCTTTTCTATTAAGAATCTTTCCTCGTATTTTCCTACAATCAATTCAACAATTTCCGAACCCAAGAATCTATTAGAACACTTGTTAGTGACAGGTTGAAGAAACTGATATTAGACGGAAAATTATGACATACCCTGAGCATTCTTCATTCGCCCCAAAGATAGGAGGCTCCATCTTAGCCTCTGAGTGCTCACGTTCCTGCGGCGATTTGAGTGGCATCTTTTTCTACAGGATAAGAGTGGATGAATAAAATTTTGTTGTGAGATGGACGTGGTTGATTAAAAATCGAAGTGATATGGGAAAGCAAACCGATTAAATCGTGGTAGACGCGATCTCGCGCTTAAAAACTTGAATTTTAGTACATCAATAAGTCTTACACTAAGTCCTAGTCCTAGACCCGATCCAGATTCTAGCTTTAATACTAGCTCTAGCTCTAGCTCTAGTTCTGGATATTAGTGCGGCATACCTAGGTATATGTCACATTTCAGCTTCTTTTATTACACCATCCATATTCAGTCTAACATGTCCTAGACTATCTCAACTCGTGCCTGCTTTATTGGTGACTGTTGGTATCAACGGGAACACCTTTCAGATCTACGATGATAGAAAGTCCGACGGGTGTTCAGTGTTGATATCCATAAAAAGCTTGTTGATTACTATTCTACATGATGGGGATTATATGTGTATTGAGGTCCTTTCGCTAGTCTTTACCCTAGCCCTTTGCTAGTACGGCGCTGGTGCTCCGGTACAGTAGATAACTATACCGACAGTGACGTTTTGCTCCTTTGATCGATTGGAGCCACTTCCGGTACTCGTGAATCAACGATTGGGCATTTGTACTCATACTTTAGCTTCGCAAGATCCACCGCCGCGAGTATGGTAGCGGCAGTTATAGCATGGATCCCATGATGCAGTGTACCTTTTGTGGTCCCCATCTGTTTGTGTTGATACAAGTAAGTACACGCAAGTTGTCGTTATAAACCCATTCCAAAAGTATACCTAAGCATTCTGGGGTGGCACCTGCCAGCCCAAATGTGTCATCACTTTCACCCAAAAGCTTCTCGAACTATGGAACCTTGCTACAGAGCAACCTTTGATGTAACCTGAAAAGTGTTTCATCATCTCCCACATATATCGTAGCAATGTCTAGCTCAATCTTGCTGTACTGAAAATAATTCTTCTTCCGAGTACTGGATATGAGGAGTAAAAGGTGATACTTACTCAGAAAATGACACATTCCACTTTTAGGCGGAATCGATATTTGGGGAAGGTTCATTGTTGAAGCAAAGAACCCATTTTAGGCCGCAGATAATCTATTATGTAAGATTTCGGTATTTTCTGGCATGTAATTCGTGGTTGGTGGCCCATACCCTCTCTTCGATATTTGATGCAAGTACAGCATTCACCCCGTTTATATTTTTAGGCTCTCCTCCGTTGCTAGGAAATCCCATCTACCGTGGCCAATGCTATGCAACTTTCCGCTGAGTATGTTCTCTCGGAGACCCTAGTGGCTAGACCCTCAGGGGAGATGTTGGAATAGGTACGCTTTGGAGGCATGCTGATATACCGGTATTTCAAAACGTTATCGGGTAACAGATCAATTCAACTTAAAGAATCAGTTACAACCCAACGAGATAAAAAGAGGTGCTATATGGTCAAGCATATCAATCCAGCCACGCTTACCTCTAGCGTTTTTAGGACCACCCATGGGGAAAGTGCGTACAGTTAGCACAATCAAACTCCCATCACTCTAGTGGAATTGTCCCCAAGAAATCAGGATTCTACTAGTATGCAATTCAGCTACAAAACTTTGAATGTTGGCTCGAACAGTGGATGATATGTTATTATAGGCTTTCATTGGCTAGGTTCGGTTATTATCAAAAAAATCGTATAGATAAGCCATATTTCAAGCCAGGGATAGGATATAAGAAGTTTCAACAGAATATAGTTAAGTCCATCCTGGCATCCTGGGCCTAGGATAGAATAGGAGAGGATGATGATGGGGTATTCTGAACGTTGGAACCGACATGGAATTTCTCCAGTGTAGTCAGTAGTTTGAACCAGTCGAGAAACTGGCAGTTTGGGAGCCTTCAGTTCAACTGATAGTTGAAACCATACAAACTAAACCGACTGCCAGTTGAGGTTCAACACTAAATTGCCAGTTTATTCAGTGCACTAGTTCAACTACTTAACTACTGACTACACTGGATTTCTCAATGGAGCTGGATCTGTTCGATGCCAATCTTTTCACTTCCCACTAAGTCTGCAGCTTCTCCATTCATTAGACCGTAAACGAAGCACTCTCCGACAAGACTCCAGCCCTTTTCGTTCCTTCTCAAAACAAGAGGAACACTGCATCCCGGTATAACCGCAATTGAATCCCCTTCTATAGCAGCTGCAACCGTAAGACCAATCCGGCCATTCTTCGTTCCGATCAATCTCCTCCACGCAAGGACATTGGCAGCCCATGATGAGGAATCTCGTAAGTCATCATTACTTGTACCTCTTTCTTCATCCCTGAAAACCTTTCTTTCTTTTATCGTTTTAGCATCAGCTAAAAGATCCTCGAGACGTGTTCCACAAATGATGAGTTCCTTGTTACGCTCCACGAAGCCGTGAAGGCTAAATTCGAGACCCGAGCCTCCACCTTCCGACGTACCGAATAACGACCATAGACGCGGCAATCGAAGGACCGCCCATGATGGAGGAGGCTTTTCGCCATTAGGTGTCGTACCGGCTACGATGGTTGTCCAGAAAGCTTCTTTGAGACCATCAATGGTTGCGTATGCATTGCGGATAAAAGAAGCATCCGTGCAATTTTTCGGGTACTTCGCATCGGCCTCAAGAGCATTAAATGCCGAGAGAGTAGCTATGGTATCAATGAAGAAGGCTTGTATTGAGATGATATTGTCACAAGAGAACACTGGTTTTGTAGGATATGTGAAGCCACGATCTGCTTTATAGATACCGGGAAGGAATGCGACAGGAGCAGTTCTACACGACCAGCAAACCACCCAAGATGGTAAATTGTGCGTACAAGGCGATGCAACGTTTACAAAGCGACCTTTTATCATTTTGCGTATCCAAAGAGGATTATCAGCAGTCAACGAGGAAAGCATAATCTTGTCAACGGGAGAATGAACTAGTCTGAGAATGTCCAAACCGTGGTCGTTATTTGAGATTATTTCACGTGTGAAATTGATGAATATTTCAGTGAGCTCGATTCGGTAACTGGGAGATACGTTGGCGAGTCCTTCCACGCAAGGAAGAGCAAGGATTCCATAAATTTTGTCTCGTGCATCGGTAGCTTGCGCTTGTCTTGCTAATTCAAGGGCTGGCAAGGCAGTATCTACGCCCTTATGATCTACTTCACGCATGTTCTTAATGCGGAGAAGATGCTTCCACTGCTGCCCAGGAGTTCCTTCGCGGTCTTCTAGTCGGCGATCTATCGTAGCTATGGTTCTTATCTTATCAGCATCAGAAGTATGGGTCGTTATGTACTGCAAAACTGTATCTTCTTGCTCCTCGATCATTTGACAAGCTTTCCATATATCGCGTAGACACATAAAGTTACCCCCCCAGAGGACAGGCGCATCCATCCTAGCCATTGCCAATTCTTGCAGAATCCAAAGACGATGCCAATATTGACATGCAAAGAAGGAACGGAGCGACTCAAAAGTAGCTTCATGCCACGGTAAAGTATGGGGGGCCGACTGGACTGATCCGGCAGTATTTTGATGTAAAGTCCCATATTTGATAGCAAATTCCCTTAACTTTTCATCCGACCCTACTTCATGGGCCAACCATTGTAAAGCAGTATATGCCATGGTCGAGATAGCAGTGCCTGAGCCGAGAGAGACGACTACTTGCCATGCCATAGCATAGATATCTCGCATGAGCTTCACTTGCTGTTCACGCTCATCTAAATCGTCTTGGTTGATACATAACGCATCAATCCATAAGTTAATGCGTCGTCTAACCCAACCGGACTTTCGCAATTCTAACAGAGCGGTATGTAGATTTTGTGTGATCTGCATCTCGACCCCATTGACCAATATTGTCTTCTTGTCAGCAGGAGTCCCCCAGATATATGAAAGTGCAACATATCGATCTGAGAGGTGAGGCAATTCACCGGTGGACGCCACACTTTCATGGGGAATATCTTGAGCCTCCTTCAGGGACCTGATATATCTTTTCAACGCACGATCAAGAAGTCCTCTTCTAGGTTTGAACAACGTCGTGTAATCATATGAAATATCATTAAAATCCCATTCCCTCTCAGCTGCAGTCTCTTTTTCGATAAACGCTGATGATACACCTAATTCTTTGAGCTTAACCGGACGCATCTGACAGGATATCATGGCAGTATCATCAGGAGCCGATTGAGAACTTGGCTCGAGACACAGGACACGAACCTCATCCGCACCCAAAGGGCGGTAAAGCAATGGACTCCAGGTTGGAGAATCAGTCATGGTGGTTCCGGAGTCGATCTGTTCAATTCCAAAGAGCAGAAGATTTGAAGGAATTCTCAAAAGAAGTACCGGTACTATATAATGAAAGTAGAACTTCTTTCGCAATCGTTTCTCGTCACATTTTGGTGGTTATTCTGGCCCCAACCGACTAACAATAGATTCTTTCTTCTGCAATTGAGGCATCTAAAGCATACCGTAATATCTTTCTACCTTAATCAGGATTAGCGTCGGTAATAACCGCAGCAGCTCTCCGTAGGGGGTTCTCATCCCATCTCCCTTCTCCCTTCTCACTCACAACACACTACACACTACATTCTATACCTTACTCTTTGATGTTATTGAAAAAGTACATATGATAATCCAGTTTGGTTTACTCGTTATGTTAAAGCTGATGTTTACAACCAAGTGGCTGTGAATACCGTATTGTTTGTTAATTCCTGGATAGTTACATCGCCGCATGCCTTATATTTGCTTCAATTGAAAACTTTGTCTCAACTTGTCCGTTTTTAATAATTGCGGTAAACTTACAGTATTCATGTTTTCTATTTGTCAAATCATCAATTCACAGTAAAAACAAGAAACACACATAGGTTGGAATCGAAAAGAGTAAATTCGATTCTAGAATGTATAGACATGAACCCAGAGTCAAAAACGCTATGCACCTTTATGCTCCTAAATTGCGCCCATTGTTTTCCGAAGATGCAGTCCATTTCAGTAATCCACGTAGTCAATTTGTCCCCAAATCCACAACATATTAATCTGTCCCACCACGAGAATCAATTATTCCTTCATGCCTGCAAATTCGTTGATATTCCGCCACATCTAAGCCCAGAGACCAACAAAAGCAAGTGCGAGAATTGCGGCGGCGCCCTTGGAGAATTGCTTGACGGTTGGTTGACCAGCGTTCGCAGTTGAGGAAGCAGTGGCACCAGAAGAGGTCGCTGAAGCTGAAGTCTTGCCGGAGGTTGAGCTCTTTGCGGTAGCTTGTCCAGAGACTGCTGTGGTGGTGACAGTACCAGTGGTTGTTGCAGCGGTGATTGATGAATCAGTGGCGCTTGGGAAGACAAGAGTACCACTGCTTCCACCAAGGTAGGTACTACCGGCAGAGGCAGGGAGAGTTGTTCCGGCCGAGTCGAGAGGATTGTCATCCAAGGTACAGGCGTAGTCGACATCGGTTGTGCCAGAGCTGGACTTGAAGCATCGCTCGAAAGTTTGTTGATCAGCGCTGCTAGTAACATTGCAGTAACTGTAGCAACCATCCATGATGACGGTGACAGGAGCACTACCGCAACAGGTTGTCAAAGCGCTCTGAGCAGCAGAGTTGGAGGTGATGTTGACCGCAGTACAAGCATTAATGTAGCTGGGACTGCTGAGCGCAGCAGCAGGGACAATGAAGGTATCAGCTGGGCAGCTCATTCTGACGGGTTGGAAGTGTCGAAATTGTTTGGAGGTTGTAAAGTTGTAAGTGGTAAAGTTGTGTGGTTGTAGAGTTGTGTGGTTGTAAGGTTGATGGTTTGAGTATGTAAGATCGAAGAAGTTGTTGACCTTAAATGTAGAAGGATCTCAAAGTCGAGAAGGTAAGCGGAAGAGGCACAGCAAGTAATTTAACGCTCTTTTGGAAACCGAAAGAACCGCAAAACTCGAACAACTTAAGAATAAATTGAGAAGGAAAAGAGAGCGAATGATATTATTCAATCTGGGAAATTACTTGGGGCTTTGAAAACGAAGAGGGAAAGTAAAAGTGAATATCGATTATTTAAGAAAAGAAAGGCTTGGATGGTGGAAATTGTAAGGATTCTTATGACCTTTTAAATCTCTTGATTAATCCGTACGAGTGTACAGACCGTACAAGTGTAACCAACCATGAAGACTTGTCTGAAAGTATTCTATAATACCTAGGCAAATGAGGTACAACGGTTAGAATAAGCAATCAGGGCTGTGCCGCACCCTGTGTACCTGCAGTAATTATAAGCCACAACATCGCAACACAAGATATGATTCGTTTCCAATGACACGGCAGCCAATTGTAATCTTTATCGTCTGATTTTTTTAAGAGGGGGGCCTGTCTAAGGACCATCATTTCTCAGCATATCAAGCTCTTTCAGTTGAGTGTGGCTGCATCTTACAGGCACAGCAAATTTAAGTCAAAATAGCTACAGTATGCCAGCCCTGCAGGTCAACAGCCCCCAACATGAGTAGTTACCTTCTTTTTTCCCTAATAGAATATCTTTTCATCAATTATCTACGGACTTGATTCGCAACGGACGATTTTTTCGATACAATTAGGTTTACGTGTCTCTTACTAAGTTACTAGGAAGTTTATTCAACTGGGTTTGGCAAACAAATTATCATATATTCACTCCTTAAAATTCTATCCAAAGTTTCACAAGCTGACGAACTCGATGAGCGGGGCGCGAGACGCTTCATAAGTGTCGTGTTTGATAATCTTCTACATTCACACATCGAACACAACATCGAACACAACATCAGGTGTAAACATTTTCTTAGTCGTAAAGTTTTAGTCATTTAGAGTGGCCGTTTGCAACCGAAGATCTCCCAATTAATTGTCCCGCTGCTGATCGGACCACTGCTTGGCCATGAAAGGAACCGTGCATGTGGGGAAATCCTCAAACGCACAAGGGGGACATGATTATAAGCACTAGCAAGCTTCTGTGTGCCAGTCATCAATCCCCCCCCTGTGTTCTCTTTCGTACCTGTAAGCATTGTTACCACAGCTAGACGGGCTTATTGGCCATTTTACGTACAGCCTCAAATTCGTACCTTATTATGTCCCCTGCCCTTTGCATTCTTCCTTCAACATCCTTCTGTAACCTCATGTCTAGTTGAGGCTTACATTTTTCTATGAATAAGATCTATTATTGATCCTGTCCTACAGTTTGGGGAAAAGCCTGATTATCAAGCCGTTCCTTCGAAACCGTTAAAATAATTGAGGCTGATATACTGTTCCATGCGATGAGTTCGATCATCCTGAGAGGTTAGTTTCTCACGTGGCTTCCACGATGTTTTCCTAGGTGCTGCTATTGAAGGAATATCCGAAATTTGCCCATTGTCAGCATCCTACTCGACAATGAACTGTTTTGCTACTTTCTATGATTATCACAACAGAGGAAGTCTTCTAAAAATGTATTCATGACTCGCTTGACTGGATTGCAAGCATGCACAAGAACTCACGGCAGTTATTGGCACCTCCTACCACTATGTTCACAGGAATCCTATCAGAATGCAAACTGTGTGATGGTTGAAGTAATCGCTTCGTCGATGTAAGGCTCTGGAAAGAGCAGATGCTCGGTATATAAGATGGAGGAGTGTCACGGACTCTTGCCCTTCCTCTCTCCATCTCATTTAACATTCTTTCCACAGCATCTCTCTATTCATTCTCTTTTTACTTTCCCAGGGTCTATTGATCCGTTTCATTCATTCATTGAGTGCTGTTATTGATAAGAATAATCGATCTTCATATCTCTTTCATTCCTACTCCAAAAATTGAATCTGTAATTTCCACATCAGCCATGCGTCAATCAGTCTTTGCCCTTGCGACTTTGTCATTATGGCAGGGCTGCACTGCTCAAGCTACCATAGAGACTCTAGTCCCATATCACCCAAGAGATCTTGGTCTTGCGAGAAGAGATGCACCACCTAGCATCACTCTTCAAGATGAACTCAGTCTTATCTGGGGATCTCCAAATGGTATGTCACTCTTCTTTTCCCGGGACTACTTCTTGGTTAACCGAAAAAGGTTCAACTTTTGTCAACGTAACCCTTAACACAGGCGAAACCGAACTTCTCATTTCCACTGAACACTTTGCCGACAGTCTCACGGAAGTGCAATGCGCCGAGGACCTTATTCTGACCTTCAAAGATAATGCTACCTTTCAAGACGCCGTCGCCGATTGGTCCTGGGTTAACTTTCATGCAAACCGTACATTTATCATGATTAACAACTGGGGACCATGCGCTGCTTCCGCGGAATCTGGTAGACAGCCATGGGTTGTTCACGGAGTCGATATTTATAACGAGCAAAACTTCATCGTTAACTTCAATGCCACTCTTTCGGAATGGGATGACGTCATGTCCAATTCGGTTATCGAATTCGGATCTATGCCTTCTACTTCAGGCAAGAGAGATGACACTGTTAGCAAGTCTTTATCTCTTAGTTTGGCCCACGATCTTCCCCAGACATTCTTCAGCAAGTCTACCAATAGTGGACTCGACTTCTCCATTGACTGCCCAGGATGTGCTACTACTGGTTCCATCAACGTTCAAGGAAAGATTGTTATGTCCACCAATATCATCGGTATTCCAAATGGTATCAAGTCTGTCTCTATCACCGCTACCCCAAAAGGCTTAGGTGCCAACTTGGCTCTTGGATTTGGAGTTTCGGGTACATTGGGTAGTGGATGGTCCAAAGACTGGAACTTGATTACTGTTGGTCTCCCAGGATGGTCCATCCCAAAGATTATCACCTTAGGTCCTCAATTCAGCGTTGATGCCGGTTTCATACTCAGTGGTATCGAAGGCTCTGCCCAAATTAGAGCGGGTATGAACGTTGCCATTCCAGATTCCTCTTCTGCCGTTCTCGGTATCAGTGGTGTTGATTCTAGTTTCAAAGGCTGGGTTCCAACTGTTACTCCTCAAACCCCCAAGGTTAGCGTTGAGGTTGACGGACACTTGGAATTGTTCACTGAACTTGGTCTTGATATTGGGCTTACTGTTCTCGGAAAGTACGGTTTCGGGGGTGGACTTTTTCTTAGAATTCCAGATATCAACATTGATCTCGGAGCTGAATTCAACACCCAAGGTGCATGTGATGGATCAGCTGATGTCTTCGGTGTTAAATTGGGCGCCACCGTTGGTGTTGATCTTAGACTTGGTGTATATACTGAGTCTGGCGGAAACAAGGATTGGAAGGCAAACACCACCATTTATCAAATCGACAACTTGATCACTCCCATCGATAAGTGTTTCCCTCTCGGCCCAACACTTCCAGCTACTGTTAAAGGTGTATCTATTAAGACAGTTGGTACCGTTCCAGTTTCTACATCTACCAAGCAAGCCACCACCTCAGTCAAACCAACTACTAGCGCCAAATCTTCGACCAAGGCCTCAACTACCTCTGCGAGTGCCACTATCAAGATTTCAGGAACCGTATCAGGCACCAGCATCAAGGTCTCTGGAACTGGTGTATCTTCATTTATCAAGGCTTCAGGTACTGGTGTTTCATCAAGCAAGGTCACTGGGACTGGAGTCTATGGATATAGCACAGGGAAGATCGCCGGAACCGGTGTATCCTCATCTACCAAAGTCGTTGGTACGGCTATTTCTTCATCCTCTGTTCATGGATACGGAACTGCCCCGGTCTATTCCTCGACTACCAAGCTATCAGGAATCGAAGTTTCTTCATCTAGCAAAGTCATTGGTACAGGTGTCTCCTCATCTACCTCATATGGTACTCACCCTGATACTACTGCTTCATCCATCAAGGGTGCTAGCACATCAACTCACGTGACGGAAGGATATGGTGGCGTTACTACTTCAATTGCCAAGTCTTCCGGTACCGTTGTGATCAGCAGTTCTATCTATATCTCCGCTTCAGGAGTTAGCTCAGTCAAGACCGCCATCGGTTCGTCAGGCACCTCATCCGTTCTCGGTCTCGAGACTACCAAATCCTCTTCCGCCAAATCAACAACCACCGCCGGTGGCCCAGTGTATGAATCTTCCACATCATCTACTCTTGGTCTCGAGACAAGCAAAGCTTCTTCTTCAGCCCCAGCTTCATCCACCAAGGTCTCCAGCACCGTCGTAGCAACCATCACATCAACCAAAGCATCCTCATCTGCCTCATCAACCGCTGCACCTACCAAATCCGCCACCGGCACCATTGCCCCGGCTCCAACTGCCACAGGTACCGTTTCTACATGCGATAAATGGGTCATCATCGAAGATACCACATGCTCTTGCCAGAACATCGAGACATTCTACGGCGTAACTGCCGCCACTCTCCTTTCCTGGAACCCTGCTTTGGGAAGCGAGTGTAAATTGACTGTTGGACAAGCAGTTTGTATTGGAGTCAAGGGCTCCTACAAACGCGCTGTTAATGGCCGTCTTGCCCGATTTGTTGATGCCTAATCGGATCATCTATGAGGTGATAGAGAGATGGTCAGGTTAGATGTGATATGAATGATAAATGCATTTTTGGGAGGAACATTGGATATGATATTTTGTACTTCTTTTTATTTCTTTTTTATTTTATGTTTGGGTATTGAATTGGCTTCGATCGGATCAAATCGACCGGTTTGCATGGCTATATTTGGTGGGGGACTTATTATTACATCTTTGTATGATTAGAATTATTTTGGGAGAGGGTTTTGGAGATCAGGGATTGGGGGTTGGGGGGTTGGGAGATGAAAAATTTAAGAGATTTATGTCCGAATATGGCTTTTTTGAAGATTGGTGATTGTGAATGTGAATGTGAGTGTGGTTGTGATCGTGAGTTTGTGAGATAAAGGTAGAGCCCTCGAGGTAACTGTGGATTGATTACTATACTCAAACAGATGCTATAAATATCCTAGTGGGATGTTCTTGAAGTCAAAGGGGAATCCAACGATTTGAAATGTAGTCTAATACATATTACCAAGCACCATGAGTATGATATGAGTCTTTGATCCTCAACCAAATGTAGTGTTCAATGTTATTTCAATCTAGATATTCAATCAACCGAGTCAAACAGACATTATTGTACTAGAGTATGGCAACGGATTGTTTGGATGATTAATACAATCGGGATTAGAATCATTATATACTACCTAGTAGTTGGCCTCTCTATTTGCCAACTTACAGTACAACTTTTTCTTGAACTGCATTTACCCCACATTATGAACAGTCAAAAGCATTTGATCAAACTTCAACACTTCAACTTCAACTTCAACTTCAACTTCACACCCGAAATCCATTCCTTCAACTTTCTGAAATTACTGTCAAACCTCAGAAATAGTTATGCCAAATAAATCCATCTTTAATACATGATTAAAATTTAATAATCACCAAAATCCTTGATTGATGAGCAGCGAAATTAAAACGCTTTCTTTTTCACTCTATGACGAAGAACTTCATCTCAATTCTTTAAATCACTCTTCCAGCGAAGTGCGAAAATTCAATCAACGCACCGAGCCATGTCTTTCAAGCGCAGTCGATCCAACTCACCTTCTCTTCAATCCGACATCAAGAAAAAGGTGATCCTTCTGAGAGAGGATGTACCACTTATACAGAGTAAGTCTCGCATTATCATCAATGATGGCAATGAAACTAATGCCATGATCAGCAGCTTAGTACATGAGTTGGTTCAGATATATGTCGCCAAAGGGAATAAGGAGAAAGTCTTTCATGTGTTCAAGAAGAAGCTTTGCGACAAGATACCCTACTTCGATCAGCTTCTTAAGAACAGTCAAGATTCTATTATCAAGTTCCTCAACGGCTCCCGTAGAGCTTTTGACGTGCTTATCGAATGGATTCATACAGATTTCTTGCGCGACATTGATATTTTGGAGAAAAAGAGCGAGGACGGAGTTTTCGAACTACACTATTCATGGTCTCCCAAACTTCTATACATGCTTTTAGAGGAACTGCATCTTCCTGTTCTTATGAACCGAGTCATTGAAGTTGTACGAAGGATGGATGGTTTATACGGATTCTACTATGATGCAGAAGATATCAAGTTAACCTATGGATCGAGGATGGGATACCCAAGAATGAAAAAGTATATCGCTGAGTTGACAGCATATCTGTTCCGCGAGGATGCCGATGGGGAACCCTACCTTACAACCTCTGATCTAGTACCTGTTATGGAGAATAAAGAGTTTGCTCGCGATTATTTGAACGCAAGCCGCAATATCAACCTCAGCGATCCACGCAAAGGCCCGGTTGTCGATTTCATATGCACGGAAAGGACAAGGAATGCCTAGCGAAAAAGTACAGTGAGGAAGGAAAGGCAAAGCTTCATGTACCTGAGAAAGGAGCAAAGAACAGTGAATCATCGGCAAAAAGACCAAGGCACTCTTGAGGCTCTCAAGGATCATGAATGCAGTTTGACAAGGAAGAATCCTTGATCCCTGATTCTATTTCGCCCAGCAGACATCTTTGAATCATCGAATCTATTTGGGGTCCCAATTTCATACAAACCGTTAAGCATTCGACAAGGACTTACAGCTATTTGAAAATTGAAAACTTCAAAGCTAGATTGCATTCTGGACTACGGCGAACTTGAGCCTTCTTATGGCATGTCACTGCTTCTAACACACTAGCGCTTTCATTGCACTGTCACTCACTCACAATCGCATATGAGTTTGATTCTCGGAATCTTTGGCATGGATGTGAGTTGGCTTTGGGTACGGAATGTGTTGCGGGAGCTGGAGGAAGTCGTGGTCTATGGGATTAGAAAAGAAGACCATAAAGCTTGAAGCAATACCTACTCTTTGCTATATAATCAGTAAATGTTGCATCCATCAGATACCTCTGCTCTGCAAGAACTAATAGTTGAATCTCAGATTTATCACGTACTCACACGCCTTCATGTTGTTGTAGTCCTAGTGTTGTCCTATGAAGTGTTGTGTTTGAGCCCTCAGTGGGGTTCTTGAAGCTAACTTTAACAACTTAACTCCAACTTGAGAAATGCAACCCATATCTGGCTTTAGTCATCAGGGGAAAGGAGGGGGTGCTCATAAAGTGTAAAAGCAGCATCCAAAGAACCAAAATACACATATATTGGCCCGAATTGGGAAGCTATACTGAAGAATCTACCCCAGCATAAATGGCAAAGCTTGCGACTATTGATTTCTTTACCATACTAATGGTGTTGGAAGATGCAAACCAGATTATTACACAAGCTTAAGTTAAACCCACGAATCAATCAGTGTCGTGTTCATGGAGTCAATACACCATCATTTGAGAACTTCAACATGAGGTCAAGTCATTGAAGGCCATGCTTGATCGTTCGGGACAGACATCATTAAAATTCATGGAGAATTTTAGTAAATAGAAACGTGACCTAATGTTCAAAGAGAGCAATTTTCGTGTGCATAGACCGATGGATGTGCTTTGTGCCAAGATGTTCCATTTTGATGAAAGCTTTGGAGAGAATAGTATGGGGCACCGAACATGGCATAGAATTCCCAATTCGCGTATTCGCATTCATTCCTTCAAACCCCTCATTCAGGGGTGTCAGTACGGGAAAACTTCGCCCAGTTTATGCTGTACTGTGTCTTGAGGAGACCAACTAGTTGGATGCTTGAAGATATTTATATGGAACTCCCAAGAATATGGGCCATCTCGACCTTCTCAATGTAACTGGACCCCTGAATACTATCATGAATCTAATTCAGCAAGCCTACTACAGCGGAAATTTATATCTCAAACAGTAACCACATGGAGACGAATTGCGAAAAGAGGTTGTGAAGAAATTACTGACTGATATCCACGTTGGCAGCGGTAAAGCTCGAAAGTACTTCGTTGTGTACAAGAAATCCATTTGCGCAACGTCATCATATGCCAAAGAAATCTTCAAGAATAAAGAAAGCATTGCGAAGCTCCCGGATCAATCCTCCTATCTGTTCAATATACTTATTGAGTGGATTTATACCGGCAAGCTGTGGTCGCTAGACGGCATTCTTCCCAATAACCACGACACTATCTGGTTGTAACTACTGGCGGGAAAGCTCGATCTACCCGAGGCCATGAACAGCATTATGCATGTCTTACAAGCATGTCATAAGGACCATAATTCCTATTACGAAGTCTCTATAAAAGAAGATATCTATGAAAATACCTTGGAAGATTCGCCACTCCGGACCTATGTAACCCACCAGCTTGCATTTAATCTTCCAAATGACAGTGGTTTTGATGACGAGGATCTATTAATACTCTTCCAAATTGAGGATTTTACTCTTGACTTGATTCAAGCAACTTCCAGTGCGTCGTGTGAAAACCCTCGCGAAGTCGTGGGGTAATCCCATACATTTTAGATGAGGTTGTATATCCCCATGGCCATGTTTTACCGCTTGCTTTTTAAACCCATGCCCTTATTTTGAACACCACTGCATGAAATTATCAACGGCGTTGGCTATATCCCAGTTGGAAAACACTGGATTATGTATAATCCCGCATATTCACGGTGCATATTTGACGGGATGAAACAGATCCGAGAGGCTATTGCCATACAATATGCTGCTATGCGCTGGGTTTTTTCACCGGAGAATTCGGGGATGTATTGTCTCGCTACATGATGGAGAAGATAAACACCGTGAGCTTTCCACATGTATGGAGTGACTCATTAGACTCGATTTCGTGGCAAGCTTAATATTCCCTAGCTAACGAGAGAGTTGGTTGATAGTGAGAAGTACGAGGAAAAGCTACTAGGCGTAACCTTATATCTCACCGCCTTCATTTGCCGCCAAGTATCTGGCGAATAATTCTGCCTTTGAGAAATCGGAAAGCGGTGAAAACTGTGCGTTTGTCAATTTATTGAATATCCATATCTAAAAGATTGTCCAAAGTTCACTTCTATTTTGGAGTGCAAATTCTCTAAGAATATTCTTCTGGTAAATCTGTCGGGATCGAACTCGGTGGATAGTAGACCTATCTTCTCGTGAATATGAGAGGATGTACCTGTCATATTGAGGGCAATACAATATTTGATCTTTGTACCTAGGTATCAGGTAGCATCTAGCCTTCTCGATCCAATTCTCCGGAGGCTCATCTCATAACCGCAATAGGTCTTCAAGTGATGACGAGACTTGCTAGTCTTCCCCTCCATGCGGGAATGTTGCTTTCGCGTCTACCACATTCGGCGAGCTTTACTTAAATAAATTTCATCTCCAGCAAATCCTTGCAGCGATCTGGTAGTTGATTTGCGTTGTGCACATGTGGCGCAAGCTTTAAACGGCTGATGCCAATCACGTTGCGTATATAAACAACCCCGTTGCAGAACATCTACAGCATATATTGATTCTTGCGCAACTGCGCCCCAAAAGCCGAATGGAAAGCAGTTTGCTATTTTGAAAGATGGAGGTAAAGGAAAGCCAGAATTGGATACAAGTACAATTCAATTACTTAGATGCAATCTCTTCGTTATTCCTTTCTTCCTGTTTTTGAAACATGCAATTCCTTTCAGTCCTTCGTTAGCATAAATTGGATGTTATCATTCAATCGCCGAGAATGGTGTACCAAATTAGACCCTTGCACATATCAAGTGAGGCGCCGGAGGTTGTTGCCAAGGAGCAATCTCCGTACTTGACTTCACCCGATAAATATTTCGTTCGTTCATATTCGGGAAGAAGGGCATCAAATAATCTTACATCACCATTTACAAAACTACATGATAGCATTCCATTTCAAGAATTCCCACCACCAAGACGAGCATATGATCTTGCGCCTTACAGACCTCCGCCAAAACAAAAGATTAAATTCGGACTGGTACCAATTGTTCTGTTAGCTGTGGTTTCATTTTTCATAGGAGGGGGGGGGTTGGCGGGGGTATTGGAGGTTGGATGGGGAAGCATAATAATGCTTCGAGGTAACTTATTCTTACCTGTGTAGCCATTGGATTTGACTGATCGCAAGTGTTTCCAGCAAAATCTCCAAATCTGAATCCACAGGCACGTCTTCCGGATGCCCACCCACAATTACAGAATTCGTGGACTCTGCCGGCTGCCCCAACGTCAACAATACCACCTATACGACACCTGCGCCGAGTATGGAATTTCGAATAGCTTGTGCTATGGACTTGAGCTCTTCGCAAGAAGAAGACATCGAACTAATTATATACACTCTTTCAAGCTATATACTACGGCGGGGAGATTGAGGACGTATAAAAAGTTTACATTCGCTTATGAGATACGACGATATGATTTTGGGACTCTGCGTTGTTTGAGGGCATTTTAATTGTTAATTAATTTTATTCATGTTGTTTTAGTCGATGTCGGTGCTGGTGTCGGCAGCTTGAGGACGACGACAAGATTTCAAGATGGGAAAACGTCGGGCTCAATCATAATTCTGACATGTGGTAGTTGAACAATTCATCCAGTGATTGATAGTGATGTTGACGACAGTCATGTGCTTTGTGAGTTATGTACGCCGTACATCCATACATACCCACGTTCCGTGGTGTCAATGCCTTCAGTGTTGAAGGATCATCCCCCAACTACTTTCAACTAGTATCGCTCTCGTCCATTCTTGTGATATCGCTGCGACCTTACATATGCAAAATATGGCTGATGAGGTTTCCGAGCGTGGAGGAGATGAAGGGGGCCTAGCGCGGTTAGTTACCCCTCTTTCTCAAAATGGTTACATCAGAATTCTGATACAGTATGTTACTTTCCTTTCCTTTTCACATTCATCTCATCTCATCTCATCTCATCTACAATACCTCGGGAAAGTCGCGACCACGAACACTACCACGACGTCGCCCATAAGTGTATGCACTGCATTTAACGTTACAGTTATACTCGAGTACAAATCACAGCGCTTTCCTTCTATCCCAGATCCACACCACGCTCCTCCCACTCCCCCTAAATCCGCGCAGTAAACCGCAAACTTTAAAATTGGTACATAGATTGCATGTCTGTTACTGGTCTGTTCATTCTATTAACCGTCCATCTTCCAGAAACAGAGCCTCTATCTTCTTATACACTTGTGATCTTTCCCTATATTTTTTTGGCTAATCACGTTCGGCATGCCGCATTCCAAACCAAGTCTTGGGCAACTCAACTTCTCTCTCCGAATCCTTAATATGTGTCTCTCTCGGTCCTACAAACTCGAATCTAAGCGCTCGAAGTCTTGGTAACGACGATGCTCTAGCAGCTAAGAATATTTTTCTATCTGCGTGGTCTGCAATATCATTACAGTGACGCGTTAGCCAACTGGCATGTCCCATATTTTGGAACCCTGGAATGATCATTGTGCCTCTGCGATCTACATTTCGGTCAGCCGTGGAGTTCGGAGGTGGACTTCTGAGTATTGGGACACACGGAAGTCTATTTGAGGATTGTAGCCGTACTTGGCGGATCCCATTAGCATTTCAAAGATTTCTTTCCGTGTCTTCATATTGAAGCCTTGAGGAGTGGGTCGTCGGATGTGACTATCGTCTTCTCATTCTCCAAGATTGGCTTGAGTACTCATGGCTATTGAAAGGCAGTGAATCCAACTACTCTTATATTCTCGCGTCAATACTACTCTCGATATGTTCTACACAAGTGTGATAGTGGATACGCACCCAGCGGCTTGCTCTTTTATAATGGAGAGGCTCATATCGTTCATTGTGTAACGTGCTGAAAATACTGACCTTATTCGTTGATGCTCTTCCTCAATTGGCACATCCTTCCAGAGCTTTTTCCAGATTCCGAAATATTTCAATGCTTCAGAGGCTATACAAATGAACGTTTCGATATCTAAACGGCTTCCTTCGGCGAGTATGAATCTCAACGTGCAACATTGTTGTTATGTATCATGCTACTAATCAACTTATCAAATAATCACAGGTTATATGGGACTGCTATTCATGAGGTAGCAGCCATATATATGCCATGCTCACGCTGGTATTATTCCAGATGAACACGACTCGTACACTCGTGCTGTGTCAATATGAAGTAAGCACTTGCCTGATATGTATCTTGTTGCCATATATCTATTGACCTCTCCAATAGAGCTCATAATTCCTCCAATAAGCGCAGCAAGTCAATCAACAGTAAGTAATCCGGTGACGATGAGAAATTCGACCTGTTTCCGTTTCTTACCCAACTAAAACCTGAGGGCGGTATACTTTCTGTTGGTTTGATATTCTTTGGGGTTATCTTCAAAGTTAAAGGTCGCAACAAACTAGAATTTGGGGATAGCCTTCCCTCCTTTGCCCATTTCGTCAGGCTTACCTCTAGAAAAGTCTTCCGAATTCTCGATTTGGTTGCCGAATTGATATGTTAAATTTCGACGGGCTCTAGGCTTTTGCAATTGACTTAGTAACTCTGTCTACTCGTACTCGAGTACATCAATCGTATGTTATTGTGTTCTCGATGATTCGGAAGTCACTCATGTTTTGCTGAGCAAGCATTTGCTTACCACAAATACGGCTTACACCCCCCCTAAGATCCTCTTAAAGGAGCTCTCTCAATATTCTTACATGAGAAAAACATCTAGAGCCCGCCGCCCGCCTTGGAAGATGGCCGACCAATGGCCCAATCCCTGCTCTTCCACGTGTTTCTCGTGTGCTTACCTGTTCAAATGCTTCTAGATTCGTTCATCATGAGTAGTTCCACGACGGGATTACCTGAACTCTGATCGAATTGTCCTCCCAATGATCTCAGGGGCTCGCACTAACTGCGCAGTACAATAACTTATTATGAGCACTCGAGCACTAGGTAGACACTAGATCGCATAGACTTCGACACATAGTTGGTTGTAGTGTTCGCATCTCGAATGTAAAAGGGTCCAGTCCATAGAGATATCCTCGGTACCAGTGTACTCTTGGCCATTTAACTTTCACTGTAAGTTTCCTTTTGGGGTCTCACTCAAATTAATGTTATTGCCCCTGCATCAATGTAGTACCACAGGATTACACGATCTAGATGGTCGAAAAGTTCATTCACCCCAATTATGATATTCAGCATGCGCCATCGATGAAAAGACTTCGTTTCATCGCAAAACAATCCTTCGACAATAACCAATCGATGGCTTACATCGATAATTCTTAGTCATTTTGTACAACGCCACTCAAGAGGCAAAGGAAGCACCTGAGTTCGCCAAGAAGCTTTCTAGCCAGAACATGCATGATTCGGGTTCTTGATAACAAGAAATGGGTTACACTGCCACAAAACCCTCCTTGAAACATCAATACTTGAATCCTATCATAACTTTATTTGTTTCTTAATTTAAAGTTTTAAATTCCCATAATCCTTTCGACCCACTGCCAAGGATGTGATCCGAGTAGAACCCCTAATCAAGGCGTCTAAACACCGATACATGGCACGAAGGAATGATTAACGCGCGTTTGGAAGTGATTAATTCTTCCATTGGTTACCTGCCTAATGAATAATTCCGTGGAGATTGAAGTCAATCAATCTCGAATCAGCCCCGCCCTCCCCGCACCCGAAGTTTGCGGGTATATAAATTAAATGAGATCAGCATGACCCGCAGGCTGCAGCTAATCGATTGGAAGATTGCATTCTACTTCATATATTAGAGACTCTTTCCTTAAATTTCGTACTACATCACCTTCAATGACGGTATAGTCTTGTTTCTGCTCTTCTTCTCTTTCTTCTAGACGCTCTTTACTTGACGAATTCACTCTTTCAACATCATCCTTTCGAGTCTGGATACTCTTTTGCTGTGCATACATTCATACATTCATTTATCAACTTACTGTTACTTATACACTCACTCCTTACACCACAAACCGCAAAAATGGTTCTTGCTACATCCATTCTTCTTCCTCTTTACCTTTACCCTACCCAAGGCGCATGGACCTGGGTTACCAACGCCATCGCTGCCTACCCATCCCTTCCATTCACCATCATCGTCAACCCAAATTCTGGACCAGGACCTTCAAATGCCTACCCAGAGACTGAATATATCGCCGGGATCACCACTTTGACAAAGTATGATAATGTGAAATTATTGGGATATGTGGACACCAGATACATGGCCAAGAGTACAGTCGCTGTAGATCAGGAGGTTGAAACTTGTGAGTACAATGTTGAGAAACAACAGATCATATACTGATGAGTAGATAGATAAATACTGGTCCACCTACACCAAAGGTGATATCGCAATTGATGGTATCTTCTTCGACGACGCCGTCAACGAATGGACATCCAGTTCCTCCACCTACATGAGCGCCATTGCCGCAAATGCGCACGCCATGAATCTCACCGTGACCTTCAACCCCGGTACCATTGCCGACGAACAATTCTTCGATATTGCCGATAAAATCGTCATGATTGAAGACGCGTATTCTTCATACTCGTCTGGAAAGGGCGATTCCCTAAAATCCATTGCGAGCAGTCACTGTGAAAAAAGCTCTGTAATTCTCTACAATTTTAGCAGTTCCTCGGCCCAGCAGACTTCGACTGTGAATTCGATTGTGAAGTCGGGGGTGGCGGAGATTTATATTACGACGGCGGGATATACGAGTCAGAGTTCGATGTGGACGCAGCTTGTGGCGGCGGTGGATAGTGCGATTGCGAAGTAAATGATGGGAGTGAAATGGTCGGATGTGGTGTTAGAGAAGGCAGGACGGTGATGGCTTGATGGATGGACGGGCGAGGGTGTCAGATAAAATGCTGGGAAACTTCTCTTCTTGTTTTTACTTTTTTGATGAGCGCATGGATCTTTTAGAATTGGGCACGAGCAGTCAGTCTACATACCTACTTCCCAGGTGGAATATGAGATTGTCGCGAGGGTTTGGAGAGGAATAAAAAATACAATTTCTTTCTCAGATCTGTATTACCAGTGTGCATTTTATCAAATTGATAGTACATGATCACTCAAGTCGTTCTCAAAGGAACGTTCAATGCCCTTCCAAATTGTATCTAGACCGCACAACTCTTGCTGAACTGGTCAGCAAAATCCAACACTTTATGTTACAGTAGTAGCACGTACCAAAAAATTCCCATATCTGCACGAAGTCGAGACACGAGCACTTATGCTGCCGGTACCTTAGGGTCCTCACGCGCTTCCTCAAGCTTCACGCTACTGATGACCTTCAAATGTATTCATTTACACACCAGGGGCAAGAATAGCTGTTCACAACAAATTGGCAGTAAAATTGATTTACATTACTTTCAAGGTCCTAGCCCTAATATTTACTGATAGATTAATGATTGAAGTTGAGCTAGCCATATTGAAAGATTCCCTACCTGTAAACGGGTTCTTGAGCTGAATCTAACTTGAGTTTCGTGACCTTGAATTTTGGTGGCAGTCATTTGCATTATCCCGTATTTTCCGTTTGACTCATGACTCTACCGAGTGCCGGTGCTGAGTTGGTTGTGACCCAGAGAAATAATCTGGGCACCAAACACATGGTTGTGAGGTTGTGAGTAGCTCTACTTGAGCTGTGTTGAGCAAACTCACGCTCAGTAAATAAATGATTAATTTTTGGCCGCATAGATAATATATGAAATCTCCGATGTAAGAGACAAGGAAATAAACCTGTATCTATCGTTTTGTGGCAAAGATAATTCTATAATGCAGAACAATATGCATGTTAGATATCCGGAGTCTCACTTCTTATGCCAAAGGGAAATCCTGTGGCTTAGTCTCATGACTTCAAGAGTTCCTTCTATTTTCTAGAATGATGGATTGCTACAGATATGACTTTGTTTCTCTCGAAAGCTTCACAATCTTCTCCCTTTCCACAATTGACCGCCTTGATTGATTCCGTGCAAATAAACCGAGAAAGTCAGTCGTATCCAAAACATATCGCTTGCAAAGCTCTCTTCAATGTTGTGAATTTCGCGTTTGTCTCCCAGTAGCTTCTGACACAGTTTGGTTCCCTTCCAATGGCAACTTGAGGTGATGCAGGCTTCTTAGAAGAAAAGGTAGCTTTGGGTCGTTTGGCAGCAAATTCGTTAGCCGCGCGATTTTCAGTGCCTTTCGGTTTTCCCACAGTGTTTGGCGCGTCGTCCTCAAACTGATGAGGATCGAAGTCCGTCTAAAAAAGGTCTCTCAGACGAGGAGCTTTCCGGACCGTCATTGCTTTCCACAGTTCTGTGACGCGGAGGCCTCTTCTTTCTGTTCGACTCCTTTTCATTTGCGACTTGAAAGTGGAAGGTCTTCCTGAGCCGAATTAACTCGTCGTTAGATTCCATTATAGGCAGGTGTCCTATTTCAACGGTCAGAAAGTAGGATTTTTTGCCGTAAGCTTACTCTCGCGATATGACTTCCTGCATTACATGTGTTGTGCGCGTGATTTCAGAAGTCATCATGCTTTTGCGGTAATCCTCGAACTCTTCGTCGCTTTTAGCTAACAAGATCCGCGCTTCACGTAATACTATCGGATCTTCCCACGACAACTTGTCCGCGATGAGAGCTTGCTCTACCAGGCTATAGCACGGGAGATGTACTTCGACAGGGAACTCAGGTACCACGAATCTACCATTCTGGGTTATATTGTCGTCGAAAATGGGCATTACACTCTCATCAAAAGCCAAGTGCGATGCGACGGAATATGGAGTATCGTCCACAGGCAGGAAGGCTTTTAATTTCATTTGTGCGAATGTTTAGCGATCCAATAGCGGATAATTATTATAAAAGTTTAAAAAGTCTTTGCCCATTTTTTGCCTTTTGACCTTCACAATTCTTCGATCCTTTCTTAGTTGAAAATCCATATCCACTATTTCTCCGAATGAAATATAAAACATGAGTCTTTTCGTCATTCCACCAATTGCGACTCGATCGGCGACCGGTGGAACTGCTCTAAACTATCCTATTTGCCTTCGTTGTTCCAAATTAATTGCGATATACGAGGTGGACGCCGAGATTAAGGGACAAGTAGTCGACCAGACCTGTGCTTATCCCAATGGTATAAATGTGTCGTGCTCCGAGTGTACCCGGAAACACAAAGGGAAATGCATTCCGCCTCCGGTAGAGTTCAACGAGGAGATCAATGGGTTGCTCCGCCTACGCGCCAGGTGGGAGAAGCGGCATGGCAAAGGTCAGGATGTAACTGCTGTGGAAGCTCAGCTTAATGAGGCGCAGGGGCGGTACACCAAAGGGGTGGAGGCGTATATTCGTCAGCTCGAAAAGCATGGCTTGTCTCACAAGCCTGCCAACACCACGGAAGCAATGATGGTTTTGACGGGTCTGATATCCGTTCAAAATAGGTTGTTGGAACAGTTCTTGGATTCATATCGCTTCTCCGTTGGTACCCCCATCAATAATATTTAAAATCCCTTACTGATTTATAGCAAAATAGCTTCATCTGCCTCCGTTGAATAGGCCTGTCGTAGATAGGCGCGACGATGACGACGACGACGATGATAGTGATGATGATGATGATGATGATGATAATGAGACAGGGAAAAAGGGGAAGGAGACTGTGCGGAATAGAGGTGGTTTTACTGTATCGGGCAGTGCTGGGGAGTCCAGCGGCTCAAAAGCGGTAGCTGGTGGTAAATCCAGAGGTGGAAGGGGTGGTAAACAGAAAGTTGCCACCAAGAGGCCTACTCTTGGGAAACCTGTGGTTTCTTACGCATGCGAGGGTGAAATCTCCCCTGGTTTGGATCCTTATAAGGATGATGATGAGATGACTTCTGAGTCCGATTCTTCCGATGGAGTACCTCCGACTAAGCGTCAGCGTACGAGAGCTTTTTCGACGATGGCGCGGGGTAGCAAAAGACTACCTTAGGTTCAAGAGAAAAAGCCTGTGTCTTTCGGGAAAGAGACTAAAATGCAGCACCGATGATTTCAGTCAGGTCACCATGAGTGAAACATCCGCCAAATGACTTATTTCCACGGATTTCCATCATTGGTAGGGGAATAGAAATTAACCTGAATTCTCCATCCAGTCGTTGCCGACTAATTGTTCTCCAAAGTGTCAGATCTTTTCGGGCCATTTGCTGGGGGACGGAAAAGTAGCAATTGTAAACGAAACTACCGGTATTAGAATTATCACATTCGCGATTATGATGACGATACATAACCGCACTTCGCGCCAGATGCGAAGACATTTGGGGTAGATGTACCAGAAGGTCAGACCCTCCTACGAAACCGCACTTTGTAATCCTGGTGGACTCTCTGACGTCCAGAGATACCGCCGACTGAATTCTTAACAGATCTGGAGGAGCATACTTCAGAGCACCTGGCGTTCTCGACTGACGTTCTATCTTAGCTATCTCATGAAATTTGAACTAAGAGTAGTGGTGGCTATCAATACGCAATATGTGAATGATCTCTTTATGATCGTAAACCGCTTCGAGACGTTCACCTAGTTCGGCGTGTTTGACGTCGCGTACAGTAAGATCTAAAGCGTTCGCTAATTGCTGGGTGTGATAAAGACACAAGTTTTCGGGACAAAGCGGAACTAGCTCAGCCAACGGGTTTGGCAATGTATCCATTATTGAGCGTCGAATACCAGTTTTCGTGTACATCTACTTCAGGGCACTTGCATGCCATCGGAGGTTCGTAAGGTTGGGGTGTATCATTCTCGCCATCAAAGTCTTGTGGCACAATGATATCTCTATCCGCCTGGCCAAGTCTGGTAACCGTACTTCGATGTACTATGAGCTTATCCATAAAACATTTAACAGGAGGGGAGGTGGCTTCATTTGGAAGGTCTATTCCTAGATCTCTCCATTTGCGAAGGTTTGCCAGTGCAGCTTTTGGTTGAACTAAGCTGGAAGAAGCCTCAAAAGATACAATGACTTCGCCTTGAGGAGGTATCAAATCCGTGTATTCGTCATTGGCCTCACCAAGCATGCCGATTTTGTTGAATCGAAGGTTGAGAGCAGTCATATCGTTTCCATCCCAAGGTTTCTCCAGCGTCTTCCTTGTTAGCACACTTGACACTTTGACGAATTCCGATGGCATCAAACAACGATCAGTCCTTCGTCCAGGTCTGGGTGGCCCTTTGAGTCGGTTGATTAGTTCTCCATTCAACAGGTAGAGAGCATATATCGGTTCGCTGTTCCTGGCAATTTTAGCTAGCTCCGCAGCGAAACGTATACCAAACATTGGGATGGGAGTTGCGGCAAGCGGCATGCCATTTGACGATTTGTCCCAAAATTTGCGTACTTTTTCTATTGCCTCATCGTGCCTCACGCGATCATCCTCCACTTTCTTCATGGCAGCTTTGTTGTCGATATGTAACTGGCGCATAGACACTTGAGTTTCCTCATGGAGCTTCTCGCTGGTGATATCTTCTAAAGACATTTGCAAAAATGACTTCGTTGTTGTGTGTGAAGCCCGAAATGTGGTTGTTCAATTAAGTCTGGACTGCATACCGTTCTTCTTTGGCAAGTGTAGAGCTTTGGCAAGTGTCCTACAACTTTCGAGAGCATCCCTAGGTGCATACCGTTCTTCTTTGACAAGTGTTCTACAATGTTTAGGAGCATCGCTCAGTGCATACCAGCCTTATTGCCGATCGTGATAGATGTGCTTTTCTTGATTATCATCATTGCTTGATCACTCGATCGATATTTCGCTAGGCTCTTCGTTCCGATTCATTCCTTGATAATTTTCTGACTGTGGCCCTCCGATTTCCCTTGTTGTTGGTGACATCGTTTCATCCTTGATATCGCTCATGTTGCTGGAGAAAGATAGACAAAAAAGAAAGGCTGATGGTGTTGATGGGTATAAGATGGAATTTCTTTAATTTAAGTCAACTACCCTACTTTCGGGCCACCCTTTCACACCAAAAACAGTGA